ACAATTTCCTCCGCCTCTCATTCTGCGACATCTTTACATCCTCACTGTTGTGGTTTGAGAGGGTGGTGCTTTGTGACGCTGGCCTTGGTCCAAAATTACGATTGGTTGGTGGGAAGGGGCGACTGTAGCATCAACCAACATGATAGGCTACAATGAAAAGGAAGGAAAACTGTTTTTCTATATTTTGTTTTTCCAAACAAAATAAAATAGATGATTATAGATTTCAAGATGAATAGGAATATGTCTAACATTAGTTGCATCATGAGAGATGAGAAAGAGACAGCTGAACCAAATCCTTTCTGCTTCCGGCCATCAACATATTAACTGGCGTTTTAGAAAAATGTAGATGATATAGCTTTAAGTAGAATTGGATTTTCTTTTGTATTGATATAGTATTTTTTATTAAAGTGAAATTGAATGAACTATATATCTTATTGACATTGGCTTTTGTTCCGACTTATTTACAGCTACCCTTGAGCCTCACTTCACAGACTGCATCTCGAGGGACCAGGTGACTTTCCGCTGCTGGTGGAGTCCAGGCAGGCTCCACAACCTGTCCTCTCCTGGAACACTGAGTGTATTTTACCTAAAGAAGGAGTGCGTGCAGCTTAAACAATGAATTATGTACATCTCCTAAAGACTTACTGTATAAATATCTGATGTTCTTTTACCTGTGTTTCCCCTCATTTAGCTCTCCAACTAGTGAATGGAAGGAATGTCCTGAGTACATCCATGAAAACAGAGAGTGCTTTTTTGATGCAAACCACACATCCATTTGGACCCCCTACTGTGTCCAGCTTCGTGGCCAAAATATCACCTACTTCAATGAAGATGACTGTTTCACAGTGGAAAATATTGGTTTGTTGTCTGAATTTTTTTTTACAATTTTTTATTTTTATTTTTATGTATCATTTGAAAGTGGGGAAACTATCCCCACTTCTAAAGTGCACCTTTTTGTTGATGCCTGGTACTATCTAGTCTGCACTTTTTTGAGGCTCCTCCAAACTGCCTTTCAGCTGTCACAGACATTTATTATTTCTCTTAAAGTTTGTTGTTAATGTATACTAAATTAAATTATTGTTGTTTAAGAAATTAGTCTCACATCTCATATACCGGTAATATGTGGGTATTTTATACCTAGGAAGAAACTTTAACCACTGACTCCACTATGACTTGCTCTACTCCACCCCAACAATTTTCCATTTACATTTACTGCTCTTTCGGTACAGCACTGCTAGCTTTTTCCAGGTCGTGCTCAGGCTTACTGTAGGTACAGTCAGAGATGAGTAAAGCCAGAAAAAAACAGTACTGAAAAAAGGCAGTAATGGAATTGTTCAGATACATGATGTTGAGTACAGCTAGGCCAAGTGGGGTCAGTGGACAAGGAGTATAAGAGTTTAATATTATATAACAGTGTTTTTTTCACTCACAGCATATAGTAATATAGCTTAAGGTTGGGGTGCTTGGTATAATTCTTTATAAGGGGGACAGCATCTCATTGTTTAGAATAGAATACAATGAAATATGGATGTCGCGATTCTACTTTTAATTTAATTTAATTAAGGATACCAATATTGCAGCTTCAACTGTTGAGCAATGCAGATATTGATCCGATATGATATCAGCACAAATGATACATACCTTCATTACTCATTTTGTGGTGTGGAATGTTAGAAAAGGCTTTATCAATAGATTTTACACTAATAGAGAATAATAGTTGTTAACAACGGGTATGAGAACACCCTATTTATCATTAACCTTTGGTTTACATTAACTTTACTAAAAATGGATAGAAGCTGAGTGTTTCTGTTAGCTTGTTTTATCTGAGATTTTAGATACAGGCCGATATATTCCAATATTTGGACTGATTCCCCATTATGATTTTGACATTCCTATAGAATAAAATGGAATAGAATAGAATAGAAATAATTTTATTTGTCCCTTGGCTGAGAAATGCAGGTGTACCATAAGCAAAGTGCAAGGCAAATGTGAGCTTGCAGATACACACAAAAGTAAAAAATATAATAAAGAAAATAAATGAGACTCTACTGTAAGGGTCAAATTTACAACAACAAAATCAGAACTGTAAGGGTTTTTAAAGATTGCTATACTTAAAGCACCTTCCCGCTTGCAGTTAGTCCAGAACGCTGTGGCCCGGCTTTTAATGGGCACCAAAAAACATGAACACATCACCCCAATTCTTGCGTCTTTGCGCTGGCTCCCTGTTAAGTTTACAATTGTTTTCAAAATATTGTTGTTTGGACTGGCACCTCAGTACATCGCAGACCTCATCCAAATCTACCGTCTCCTGCCCGCTTTGAGGTCTAAGCTTGTGATTACTAGGGAAAATCAGAAAATCTGAGGGGACAGAGCATTCTCTGTTGTTGACCCTAAGCTGTGGAATGCCCTGCCCCTCAATATACGTACGGCCCCCACAGTGGAGTGTTTTAAATCTTGTCGATTCACTTTTATTCTCTAGCTTTTAGCGTTGCGTAAGTTCTGTGGTCCCCTGTGGCTTTGTATTTATTTTATTGAATTTATTGTTTTTAACTGTTTTATTTATATTTATTGTTTTATGCTCCCCTTGTTGCATGTACAGCACTTTGGAAACATTTTGTTGCTTAAATGTGCTATATAAATAAAGTGGATTAGATTATCATGAAGGTATGTGCTACTGAGTAGGGTGGTTTAAAACATGTCAAAATTCATACATTTGTATTTATGTATAATAAACAACAAAACAGTGTTTACAAGAATGAAAAACATGTAAACATGTATTGAGCTCTTTTGGAGTAGTGAGGGTTATAATGCCTACGAGCTACCAGAAAGAATGATCTGTGATAACGCTTCTTTGTGAATGTGGGGTGCAGCAGTCTGTAACCACACACTAAAAACAATATGTGGTTATTGACTCTGATTGGTTAGATTTCGGGTTTGTTATCTGCAGATGTCGAACTTTTACTCTAACTTACTTAAAACTGGACTCTTGGAAATACTTTTTCTACAAAGAATTTATCTCAAACCTTAAACGTTTTTGGCAATAGTGTGTATATGTCGTTAAAATTTAGCACATACTGTTTGTAGGCAAGAAAGTGCCTAAAATTTAACCTGAAATCTAGGTCGCCTTAATATGAAGATATTTAAAGCTCTGTGCTTACATAAGAGTGAAAGCACATTTTAAAAGAAAAACCTTCTGGCTGACGATGCATTTGGAGTGATCTTGGATATCATTTAGGTTTTCCTTTTTGAATATTTTTATTAATATTTCTAATCATTGCTAAAAAAAAAAAAAATTATGTATCTATAAAGCAGGATATTTTAAAGAAAGCCCTTAAGAATTGCTAAGTTGATACACCAGGATTTACTGGAGCCTTCTGTGGTCTAAAAGTACACATGCCAAGAAAAAAAGCTGCTGCCTGAAAAAAACATTAGATAAATTGACTGTCTGCCAGATAACGAAGATAAAGACAGAGACCAGCTCTCTGTGAATCATATGGACCTGACAGACAAATTAAAAGCAGCTCTCAGCGTCTCTTTCCAACTGAAGGGCCACAAAATAAAAACAAAGCCTAGACTGCCACAACCATTCTTTTGATACAGCATGCCAAATAAATTTATATGAACTGAAAAACCTCTACATTTACATACTTTCTTTTTCCGACACAGATATGCAAAACCATCATCCTATAAAAAAATAATACATAGATGTTACTCTGGTTAATGATAGATGTCTATAAATAGGCCTAAGATGATATGTAAGCTTTTCTTTTTTTCTAACATATGGTGAGTTTTAGGTTATAGATTGCGCTGTGTACATTATGTTTGGCGTTAAAAAAATTTAAAACATTTTTGAGAATAAGGTTAATTGTGATGTATTGATTATTGAAATAAGTATCAATTTATTTAGTAATCTGTTATTAGTACAGTATAAAGACTCCAAAACGTTCTTTTGCTTAAATAGTAAAACACTGATTATTGATTAAGATAAAAGTTTATAGAATATACATAGATTTAGTTTTTATGCAAAGATTTATTTATGTGTAAATATGGTCTATCCTGACCTGAACTGCTGAAGTGGCATTTTTTTATATACAGACTTTTTACTCAATCTTACGAAATCTTTCCTACAATTCAAAGTATGTTATATCTCAAAATAAAAGCATGGTACAAAATTCATGTTCTAGTGTAGTTTAAATCTTTAAACACTATCATTTACAATGTTTGGAAGCTTTAATTTTAGAGTGCAGCTAGGAGTATAACACAGTGTTGTTTTACTTGGACTCATCAGCTTCAAACCAAAAAAAGCCTTGAAATCAAAAAATAAAAACAGCTGCATGTTTTCCCTTTTTGTTCACCTCTGAACTTCTGCTCTTTTCCCCTCCCTACAGTGCGTCCTGACCCTCCTGTGTCTCTAAACTGGACACTGCTGAACATCAGCCCCTCTGGACTCAGTTACGATGTCCTAGTCAACTGGGAGCCCCCGCCCTCTGCAGATGTTAGTGTAGGCTGGATGCGCATAGAGTATGAAGTCCAATATAGAGAGAGGAATGCCACCAACTGGGAAACGGTGAGTTTTCTTGTGAAACTTCCTCGCTATCTTAAGTTTTTGAAGTATAATTCCTTCTCCCCTTTGCTGTCTGAACTCCCTCCTGTACTCTTGTGGCTGAAATGCAGTGTAGCTTTCTTGGCAAGCCCACTAAAGCCAGAGCAGGACCCTCTGAGAAAACAGCCTCTCTGAAGGAAGAGAAGGGAGGGATCTGTGGGTCAGAGGCTGTGGGACCTTGTGCAGGCTCGTTTATTATTGCCTGGCCACCCTGCTTGACAAATGCAAATTTCAAAATAGCAACAGATGCCTGTCTTATGCCAACAAGTCTTCTATCATATTTATCTGAAAGGCCTGGGCAGTTGTGCCACCTTTAAAAAGGTCATGGTTACAGATACCAAAAATAAGTATGGATCTCTTGGCACCATGTATAGTTTAAGTTAGCTATAATGTTAACTTTCTTGCTTCTTGTGTCAGGACAGCTGTCTTTTTGCCTTAAATGCTGCAATGTCACATTCTTCACTTGTTCATGTTGCTCTGGAAAATTCAATTTTTCAGCTGGAAAAGCAGCCTCATACTCAGCAGACAATCTATGGCCTGCAAATTGGAAAAGAGTACGAAGTGCATATCCGCTCCAGGATGCAGGCCTTTGTCAAGTTTGGAGAGTTCAGTGACTCCATCTTTTTCGAAGTGACAGAGATTCCCAGCAATGGTGAGCAAACCTCTCTTAATAAATATATGCATAGCTGCCCCAATTCCTTTAAAATATAACCAATGAAGACCCAGCTTTAATTAGGAGCTGTGCTACATTTTGTTTATAGATTCTACAGTCCCATTCACACTGGTTCTAACCTTTGGTATTGTCGGTGTCCTGATGGTTGCCATGTTGATAGTCATTTCTCGGCAGCAAAGGTAGGAACATTTACTTTCTCTCCTTGAGTGCTTCCACTTTAAAATGTCCAAAGATGCTTTTTATTTTTTTTTATCATATTATTATAAAACTAGATTAGTGTTAGTTGAGCTTGTTTTATATAAATGAATTATATGTTAGCGTTTAACTAAAGTAGATGGCAAATAAAGTGTTTCTAAAAAAAGAGAGAAAATCATAATAAAACTTTTTTTTTGTAAATATAATCAGTAATCAGAAATTGAGTTGTTATGTGGATGAGAGAAAAATTCCCAAGGAAAATTAATATTTTTAAAGATATTTTTTTAAAATCTGAAAAATGAAACACAACAGTTTTTCTTTTACTTTAAAACAGCTCTAAATCTAAGAAGCGTATATATAAACACACCCAGCCCACTCACACACACACACACACACACACA